TCATCTTCAAATGACTTATAAATATTAATTATTACTGACTGAGAACAGGACCCTACCCAATAGAGTATTGAGTTCCAGGAACAACACTTCAAACCTGCAAATATTTCAGACCACCATACTTCTCTGATGGGTGTTTGGGGTAGAAGACTTCGACATCAGCATTTCCTTTCTATCTCCTTGAGTAACAGTATGCTTACAGCTCTCATTCAAAGAGTTTCAGATTTCCTCCTATCTAAACTTTCTACTGTACAGAATACACATCATCAGAGATGTATCTAACTCGATTTTAGAGTATATGCTTTGAAAAGTAGCAAAATCACATTGTTAATACTTTCTGATATACGTCAATATTCCCAGAATTTGGCTTGTCTTATTTGTTCTCTCTACTGTTTGTCCACCAAAATCTGGAGCTAAGATTAGCTTACTACCTCAGACTTAGAAAAGAATTTCTCTTTCTAAAGCTAATGAAGGGACAGCAAATTGCCTGAACAGTTGGCTGCATGAATCATTCCAAAAGTACATACATCTTTGAATCATTGTTTTAGTAGGAGTCAGGAATGTCTCTGACTTTTTTTCCTGCTATTGGAACACTTTCTGCCCCTACTGGGTTGCTACTTCCAGCCTTGATATGACGGTTTGTACCTAGTCTTACTGTAACTTGTGATCCTGTATTCTGTTGATATCCCTGGGAGGCCTGCTCTTTTCTGAAGGGAAACTGAGAAGGAGTGAGCAGAGGAGAGCAGAGGTATGGGGAGATCAGGAGGAGTAGAAGGAAGGGATATTGCAGTCCAGATTTAATAAGTAAGAAAAGAGTTTTTTTTTAATGCACTATACAATACATGAAAGGTAATTTGGGAAAATTTTATTCAGGGAAGTAATTAGGTATAAATGTCCATTGTACAAACAACCATATCACTTTGCTAGAAATTATTAGAGCAACATGAATCCAAGAAGTTCCTAGTTCTATCATGAGGTGATAGTGAGTTTCTATGGATGCCCAAATCCACCTGTGCATTCACCTGATTGTTGACATAGATACCAATGGGAACAGTTATATTTGAATGTGAATCATTTGCCTTCCTAAAAAGGCTTGTAAAATCTTAAAAAGAAAAATAGGAAAAACTTGTTTTCCTTTCAGTAATAATTATTTTGCTATCTAGGAAGGGAAGTCAAACAACCACAATATAAAAATTTCCTTAAAATTTATAACAAAAACAAGTATAAGTAAAGTCTTGACAACTTTTGAGAAAATAAAAGTATCAGGATATTCACACATCTTTAATTCTAGTGCTTAAAAGATAGAGGCAGGCAGAAATCTCTGTGATTTCAAAGCCAGCCATTTCAAAGCCACTCACAATCTACATAGTGAGTTCCAGGGCAGCCAGGGTATCTAAAGAGACTCTATCTCAACAAACAAACAAACAAAGATATAAATGGTATCAGATGTTCACATTCTATTTTGATTATTATTTTAATTACAGTAAGTGCTGCTATGAATGCCAGGTCATATTTTCTATACTCATGGCTGATCTAGTGAACACAAGTTTTAATTGTAGATACCTCAGTACTTGGGTGGTAAAGGGGGCTCAATAACATATTTATACAGTAATTCTAAGTCAATATTTACAAATCATTTATTATGTGATGTTAACTGAACTAACTGAATTTTCATTTTATGTTTTTACATCAAGGCACTTTTTAATCACAGAAACACTTCTATAACTATCCAAACATACCATAAGGCCCTGGGAGATGGGCTTGATTCTCTGAGTTTATTACATAATTTGAAAAAATATACTCAAATATTTTAATGTGAGCTCTGAAATCTCAATGAAATCATTGCAGATACAGGAGCACATGGGAACACACGTCATGAAATCTTGGGTTGTTCAGGACTATGCAACACTGCTTTGTGACAGAAACTGTCACACTGTATACCTTAAAATTATCAGTCCTGTTGGTCCTCTAAGGACTGGTGATGCAACATTTCACTTTATACACGAACTGAGAGAAACATTTAATCTTTTCATTTCACATGTAGATAGGATTACAATAAAATTAATCAGTGGTTGCAAAAGGATAACTGAGTGACTCAATCGTATGATAGGATTCTACTGGGTCCTTTGATTCCCAAGGTTTTGATTAAATTAGCCTGAGCTAATGGCCAAGCAGTTTAAATAATATAAGCATCTGTATGTTTATTTTATATGTGGGCTATAGGACTGCTGGGGCTTGGCAGGACCCAGAGAGAAAAACTCTAGCTACATTCATCCTGTGGCTCCTGGGGATTATGTCGAAGTTGGCAATAATCACCTCTACTTGCAGAGATTTCTCTCTGATTCGTGATCTATAATCTTGATATTAGCACAGTGAAGCTAAATAGTGTCTCATCCTTCAAATAGTAGAGATTTGAATAAAGCCCAAAGGCATGATACTTATGATGAATTCAAAATTATATTCTAATATTGAAAGCCACGCATCCAAGAATGTATAGACAGAACAAATTGGACTCAACATAATTAAAAACATGAAAGAGAATACAAAATTGGGTGGGAAGGGAAGAGCATGAATCTTGGGGGAGTTAGAGGATGGAGAGAATATAATCAAAACACAATGTATGAAATTCTTGAAGAACAAAAATAAAAGAAAAAGGAGAAATAAAGACTTGAAGAAGATATAAATGTTAGTAATACATCATACTTTTCGTGGTCCGGAAATTATGAATGAAAGCCATACTATGAAAACATATTTAAGAAAAAATATTGATTTAACTTTTAGAGTAAAAAATAAATAATTATATGTCTAATTTTCTGGATCAGTAATCACAAACCTCATAGAAATTTAATTCTCAACTTCTGCTTAGGAGGAAGATGTTAATTTTGTCTCGAAAGTTAAACCATTCAGACCACATGTGTTGTGATATTTTATTTGTATGTTAATAAATACAGTTTGCCTGGAGATCAGAGGTAATAGCAAGCCATTAACACAAAAATCAGGCAGTGGTATAGCACATGCCCTTCTGTGTTCAAGGACACACTAGGGAACAACCAAGCGTGGTAACTCACGCCTTTAATCTCAATACCAAACATAGAGACCTGGAGGTCTGTACAGACAGGCAGTGACAAGGAAGTGAGGTAGCTGGGCTAAGAGCCAATGAGAGGGCAAAACAGCAAGGCAATAAAAGGCTGGGTAGATGAGAAGTAGCTCTCTTGGGAAGCTATGGCAGTGTGGTGAGTTAAGGTTAGCTGGTGACTCTCACTATTTCCCTGATCTCTAAGGCATTCACCCCCATATGTGGGTCTGTGTTTATTTTTTAATAAGACCATTTAGAAACTCATCTACACACATGCTAGAAAAATACAGATGTATCTCTGATGGGCAGCTGTTAACAGTCAAACAGTAGTTTTCATTACTTGTTTTGCACCATAAAAGCACAGCTAGCTCTTGTTGCAATGGAAATAATGGGCTTCTTACTTTGGACATGAGGTACTTACTATTCAGATAAGGTGGAAACTCTATAGAAGGTTGTTTTCCACCTGCTTCTGACTACATGGGGGCATTTTTAGCAATTTTGAAGTATTTTAGAAAGATTATAATAGTCAGAGTTTGTTGGTGTCTTCAGAAAAACAGAATTTGCTGGACATGACAGCCATCACACATAAGAACAAAGTAGCTGGCTTTGACTGCATGTACCAAACCTGAACAAGATGAAGCCAGTCAAATTCCCAGCATGAATGGCAAAGGGGCTCTTGATTCCCACCCCTAGTTTAGAAGATATTGGCAATCAATACTACTGTGTACTTCCTGTACCCATTCATATACGAGCAGCACTTAATGAACTCAGTGGGCTTAGAGAAAAATGATAGAGACACATGAAATTGGAAGAAAAAGTGGTGATGGAATATAGGGAAAGAATTGGAGAGAGGGGAATTGGAATCATTTTGATCAAAACACTTTACATACATGTATGAAAAATTCAATAATGGAACATATATAAACGTACATTATTTTGAGGATTATGTGATTTGTGGACTGTGAGGAAAATTCAAATACTTTTTCAATAAAACCTTGAATCATGTTAAAAAGACAAATCTAGTCCCCCAGAATGAAAATGAGTGGAGCAAGCCAACAGCAGGACGAAACCTGTCATTTTAGTGACTGAAATGGAAAGGTCTGAAGAATCACATTCACTTTCTATTCCTTTCCAGACTCTGCTTTTGTAGCACATGGGACTGCTGGCTGAAATAGGTTAACCCTAAAGAAGAATTACCCCACAAAATCTTACTAGATCCAGATTCGCAAGTTTATTACTTTCTATTCAAGATTATTTTTATAATTACAGCGCTTTGATTAAAAAAAAACCACTATGACCAAAATGTAGAAAATCTGATCAAATAAATGTTTCCAGACTTTTTATTTTGTAAAAATAAGGCCACAACTATCAGTTTATAAGAAGGAGCTGGAATTTATTCACAAACTTTAATTTAGGTGTCTATAGTTTCTGCTAAAGAGTAAACTCTATTATGGGAACTTGCTTACCAAATATCAGAATCATTTTCAGTGAGTACTGATTTCTCTTCATTTCTGTTTCCTTGACTAAAATCCCCCTCTCTGCTCTTTTCTCATCAAGACTCCTAAAACCTGAGAAGAAATGATCTTCATGCATACTGACATGTTTTCAAATGTGAATATTCTTCCAGCTGGATTCAGAAATTACAAAAACATGGCTTGGAAAATCTGATACCTGGGAGCCGTCCAACTATAAACAAATGATTGTATTTTGTTTCAAATCAGGCTAGGAGGTAAATAGTGAAGTATATTATCTGGAGCACATAAAATGGATATGAATTTACACCTGTCCCATATCTATGATCATTAATTGAAGTGGTTATTTATATTTTCCATATAAGTCACCTAAAAGAAGCAGCAGTTTTATATCCCCCAGATTAATTTAGCACCCTCCAATGTGTAATGATGTGTGAACATTAAAATTCCAAGTGTTTCAAAGTGTTTAAAACCATTTTATTAATGTACCACAGATATTTACAAGATCTTAGTAATATACATTTTTTTCTTTCCAAACAAGTCTGTATTAAGAATACTTGTGATGGAGGTTGGGGAATGTATTTACAGAATAATTTGCTTTCAGAAAATTTCCAAAGATCCATGGATTGATTCATTGTAAAAGTGGTTGAATAGCAAAACAGTAAAAAATCCCAACCATTGACAGGAACTGGGTACTTGGCCTTAAAATCTGAACTCCTGTAGAACTCAAACCTGGAAAATAAAACATCAGATAATGACCTCATATGACATAAGATGGCTTACTGGATTAATAACACAGGACAGAAACTATACAGTCATATTTGTCTTAAAATAATATTTTATTACATTGTATTTAATTTTAAGAAACGACTCCTATCATAGGATGCCATCTCAAACAAAAAACTGAAAAAGATAAACAGCCAAGTTGGTGAAGCCTACTGAAAGTATATTAAAACTAGCCAACATTTAGTGGCCAGTGACTTCTACCGAGAAGCTTTATGCAGACGTGAGCTTGATGCTTCTAAAGCAAAAACAGTATTACTTGGTATCTCTAGGACTGGCCTACTTGGAAAATGTAATTGAGAAGGCTTCAGCTCAATCTAAATGCTACAATTGATTAGTGATGTCTGCCACAGACATACAAAGAATATCATAGACATACCTACTTCAGTTTCACTGTTCCTACTTTGAAACAATTGATTATTTGTGAAAAAACAATAAGTCCTAAATGTTGTGCCAGTATACAATTTATGAAAGTATCCCCTTTGTTCTTTTCTTTTATTCTTCTTTTCTTCTTCCTTCCTTCATTTCTTTCTTCATTGGTTTGATTTTTTATTTTTATTTCTTAATTTTCAAATGAGGAAATAGAACATTGTAGAAATGCATGTCCATTGTTAAATTTGGCAGGTGATTTAAGGAAACACTGGTTTGTCACCTCCAGCTCACAATTGCAAATGGAAACAAAGACCTTTTGGTTTGTCACTCAACTTTACACAATAATTAGAAAGTCCCTGGGAACTTTCATGTTGCAACTGCCTAGATCAAAAGTCTGTGCCAGAAATAGCAACTCAACTTACTTGACATTTTTGGAATTCTTATTTCCTCACTGCTGCTTCCATCTCCGCCATCACTGACAGTTCTTATTTCAATCAAGTAGTCTTCTTCAAATGGAACCAGAAGCTCAGCGGATGTATTATTTGTTTCCAAAATATGAGTTTTACTCTGTCTGTTTTGCCGATAGAGAATCTGTATAAAAGGAAGAGCCAAGTTAATATGAGGCTGGAGTTTGTTAAAGGTTCAGATGCTGCATAGAGAGGGATAAGGAACATATTTATAACAATGCTCTCATCTATAATGAGAGTGTCATTACCAACATCATACTTCTCATGTGCATACATCCTAGATTGCCTTATCATTAAATTTACTTTTAAGAAACAATATTTCACTGGGATCCATGTTCCTGGGACAGGAGAAGATTTATGTTAAATATGGAGTCTGAATAAATTAGCTCCAGGGCTTTCTATGATAAGTCATTGTTCAGTTTGGACCCACTACAAAAGTCTGAATATATATGTCTGCTCAGAGTTAATTGCCATTACCACTACAGGAGATTACTTGCCCTGGACATTCAGAGATGCTCTTGGTGCTCAATGATGTTCTTATGAGATTCCTTTTATGCTGTTAAGAGCCTATATCACACTGTATCCTAATTTCTAATGTTCTATTTAAATTAATTCTTTGACATCAATCATGTATCTTGCATACAAATCCAAGTAATTGTTATTTCTTGATAGCAATGGCAATAGCATGAAGATTAAAAAAGGTTTATGCTGCAGGATTTGGATTTCCCACCGTTCACATCACATTATTCCATATACATTACTGAATCTAGAACACAGAACCTTTTTAATGAAGAATTGAAGTTAGCAAGGGTATTTTCAAGCAATTTTAAAAAATATCCTGATAAACCCATGTGCACAAACTATGCTTCTATTTGATTATAACGTTATTCTTTAATAACATAACTGATATGATTAAATAGAAAACTAAATACTTACCTTATAGCCCAGAACTTCAGACTCATTTTCCATGGTCTTCACATGCTCCCAGTTCAAGCATAATTTAGAATTTGACAGCTTCCATGCAATGTTTGCTGGTGGTTGGCTTGGAGCTTTAGAATACAAAGAGCCAAATGAGTGTTAATCAGTTCATAGGACAATGCAGCAACATGAAAAGGAAAAATAAGTCCCGATAATTAGCATAAAAGAAGCAAGGATGTTATAATTTCATTTGAAATATAGTGATTCTAATCACAGTAAGGAAATTTATTAAAATTCTGGTCATTTGAGAATGTCTCTGTGACAGGCTTATGAATCAATAATGATTTTCTGAGTGTCCAGGATTAATTTAGTAATCATTGTAGTTGAGTTTGCTTACTTTATAATATAGAGAAAGATGGATTGTTCAGTTATTTACTTTTGGTATTGGCTATTAATCGATGAACAAGTTAACTAAATTCAAGTTGGAGACATTCTACATACATATACAGACACATACATACAGGTGTTCATTCCTAATACTTTTTATTTTATTTTGGTTTTTTTTTTTTGAGACAGTTTTCTCTGTGTAGTTTTGGTGCCTGTCCTGGATCTTGTTCTGTAGGACAGGCTGTCCTTGAACTCACAGAGATCTGCCTGGCTCTGCCTCCTGAGTGCTGAGATTAAAGGCGTGCACCACCACCACCCAGCTCATTCCTAATACTTTTATAACCTTTGATGCTGTATTCCTATTTTTAACTATAATTAACAAAACCAACTCAAGATATTTTAAGAAAAATGAGACTAATAAAATATGAAACATATAGGATAATTTCTTAAAACCCTGCCAGGATGTGGCAGAGCCTTAAGGGAAACATTGTCACCAAGTGAACACATTCCCTCTCCCCTTCTTATCGCAGGGCCATGTTGCCTGGCCAGCTTGCCATAGATTTCCTTTTTTGTCACTCAATATGAGTGTCAGAAATCACAACTGTGCACAGTATTTAAAGTTTGAAACTTCCTCTACATGGAGATCACCAGGCTAGAAATCCTAAAGGAAATCTGGTGATTTGTCAATTATATGAGGAGAGACCTTAATTTGGACACATGTCTATGTTAGTTCAATCAAGGGTGGCTGTTCACTGAAAAAAAAAAAGTATAGTTTATATTATAAATGTCTTGGGAACACAGACATAGGAAAAATATTCACAGGTACATTGGTCACTCCAAATAACAGGTACTATGAACCCAAACTGGAGGTCTCAGTCCTTTGAAATCAATGCTGCCTTGGAGAGGAGTAATGCATAAGGAGGCGAGGATGTAGAACTACTGCTCTGAAATAAATAATACAGTTCAACTTTAACGATTTACATATGAGAATGATAATGTGATTTGTAGAGTAGGAAGTCAGTTGTCTCAAAGTACACAACTGGCAAGTAGCTGAGTCAGAACAGAAACTTGGTTCCTTGGTTCCTATCCGGTGGGTTCACCATGACAACATGTTGCTACTCAGAGAGTCCATATGATTTTTTTTTTTGAGATTGAAAACAATTAAGAGATTTAAAATATTTCATCTGCAAGTCTGAGGCAGAAATAAAACTGCACGGAAAGATGCTTCTGTTCTGAATGTGAAGTGCTGAGTGAGCCTAGCATTTAACTCAGGGCAACAAGAAAAACAGATGTGACTTCTAGAGCATTTTGAAACAACTTCTAACTAATGTCTTATATGTCACTTGAATATGTTAAACATGCTGAACTAAGGACAATGCTTATGGCCTCCACAAGCTCAGTCTTGATCACCTAAACTTGTTGCCAAATTTGGTGTGTGACAGCTAGAGAAGTATTTACCCAGTAGTATCATGAATTTCAATTATTATTTATTATAGTTTCATTTCATTGAAAGATAGCTATTTTGCATATTTTTAAATAAATTTTTGATGGTATGTGCCCTTTACTACTCTGTATTCTTAACAGCTAGCTCAGTGCATGGCTCAAATATTGATAAGATGACAATTGAGATGTACTAAAAGAAGAAGAAGAGGAAGAGGAGGAGGAGGAGGAAGAAAGAAGAAGAAGAAGAAGAAGAAGAAGAAGAAACCTGCACTATGCAGTTGAAAATTAAAATTGCTCCATATCTCATATTTCATTGTAATATTGAACATCCAGCATGATTCACAGGTGACTAAATGGGTACATTGTATTCATCATACTATCCTATGATTGAGACCAAATTACCATGGTCAGATCTGTAGCCTTCCATATGTATTTATATGGACCATTTTGACTGGCCATACTTTGGATCATTTCATGACAAAAATAAACCAAATTGCAATTAAAGGCATAAAATGTCTGTGTTTACTATACACTGCACATATACCAAATGATATTTTTATTTTTGATGGGTTTGGTGGTAACCACACTATTACAGTTATCTTCCCTTAATTCATTCCAATGTGAATTTTATAATATTTTCTTTGGCTATAAAAGAGCTAATATCAAAATTTTCAATAGATATCAGAGATTTAATATCTAGTATACTCTTTGGACATGTTTCTTTTCTTTTTTTATGGTTTTTCAAGGCAGGGTTTCTCTGTGTAGCTTTGCGCCTTTCCTAGAACTCAGGCTGTAGACCAGGCTGGCCTTGAATTCACAGAGATCCACCTGGCTCTGCCTCCTGAGTGCTGGAATTAAAGGCATGCACCACCACCACCCAGCTATGAATATGTTTCTTCATAATAATTCATCAACACTAACAACATCTTATAATCAACAGAGAACATATACAGATTCAGACCTTCAATGTTACTGGTAGAATATTTCTGCAAATATTCATTCATTGCTGTGTCTTTTGTTTCTTCAACTGTTTTAGAGTAAAAGGATTCCCTTCAATACTGAGTCTACTGAGTCTACAAGGAAGCAGGGAGCTGAGTCTTACTACCTTGAAAGACATATAGTTGTGACTTTGGCAATGACCTTGTCATTGATATGTATGCATTTGTTTCTTCAAAGCAAATAGCAAAACATCCCATGGCCACACCATGGGAAGAATTCCTTGGTATGTATGACCAATTATATGAATTACCTAGAATGTTTGGCTTCTCTTGCTGTCTGGAGGATAGGAAGACTCTGATTTTGAGGTCAAAGACCTGTTGTTGTAACCAAGAGCCCTAGTTTTATTATCTCTGAAATGAGAATCATAATTCCTGGTTTATAAAGTTTTCAGTTCATATGAAACATATTAGGAAGCCTTCTTCACTTTGCCAGTGGTTCATATTAAAGTCTCAATGACCGTTACTAGTTTCTCGTAAGAATAATGGTTCTCCACTGTCCTGTTATGAAATAATCAATTTTCAGTTGTGTTGAAAGTGGCTTGCCACTAATAATATGATTCTAACATTTGCAAATGATTCATTACTTAAATATAATTAGCATAATTTGAAGATCAGTCACTTGTGACACTGCTCTTGAGTTCACTACATACTTATGAAAGGAAAATGCTCTGAAAGGGTCTCAGTTAATTTCCTGGGAAGTTTTGCCTTAAGAACATTTTTGTCTTGATTTTATCTTCATTTATCAGCATAGGTGTCAATGTCATCTATCTGACCTTAGAACCAACAACAACAAAACAACCAAAAACTTCTAAAAGTGTTTTGAAGGCTATCACCTTAATATTTACACTCTTAACAGTCCAGGTTTGATATGGACAATAAAAACATAGAGCAAATTTTTTTAATGAAATTAGAAGTTCTGATACCTTAAGAAAGCCCAAACATTTGTTACATGAACATTTGTTGCATGAAACTTACAAAACATGTTGTGTTGTTTGTATCACACTCATGAATGGTAAACTCAACAAGCCAACACTTTTTCTACTTTGTTTTAATTTTTACAGGCAATCTCCAAAGACCAAAATCATGTTCTATTAATCAAGTGACAGAGTGGCAGTAAACTAGCCCTTCACAGTTCTAATGGTTTCCCTGTAATCAATTTTTCTGTAGATGGCATTTATATTCAGCTATAGTTCACACTGTGAACCCAATTCAAAACAACTTCTTATGTTACACTTCTAAGTAACAGCATGGGGTTGACATTTGGGCAAGAGAGAAAGAACATAAGTGCAAGATGGAATAAAAGCTTAATGCTTCCTTTATGTCTAAATATGGATTGATTGCATATTTACAGCAAGAAAGAATCCAGTACAGAGTGCTAGTCAGTCAACGTCCAGGTCCAAATTGAGCCAAAATTTACAAACACTTTTTGTGGTAGTGTTTGAAAATTACTTTCTACAACAGATACTGTGCTTTGTTTATACTTTGCTTTTCCTCTTGCAATGGATGTAAATATTTTCTTCTTTTCTTTGTAAATCTAAATGCTATCAAAGTGATGCCTGTGCTGATCTCGGTGTGTTTGCTGTACCTCTTACATGTCTTAGAAATACATTATTTTTTACTAAGGTGTTGTACTTCAAAGTGTATATATATATATATATATATATATATATATATATATATCATATACATTATTTGAAAATAACCACCTAACAATCATCATCACCACTATTATTAGCTTAAATAGAAACAATAAATTACTTACGAAGTTTTATTTATACCTGTAAATGTACAGGCATATACATACAGATATAGAGATCTTTTGACCTCTAACTCCTAATATTGTACATGTTTAATATATATATATATATATATATATATATATATATATATCCTTCTCTATTATCTTTTTATGTGTATCTTAGCCTCTTGTTTTCTTCCTGGTATTTCTTGGGTTCTGTTTTTTTTGTTTGTTTGTTTTGTCTGTTTGTTTTTGGTTTTTCGAGACAGGGTTTCTCTGTGTAGTTTTGGTGCCTATCCTGAATCTCGCTCTGTAGACCAGGCTGGCCTTGAACTCACAGAAATCTGCCTGACTCTGCCTCCTGAGTGCTGGGATTAAAGGTGTGCGCCACCACTGCCTGGCTATCTGCCTGGTATTTCTTACAACATGTAGTAGTGTTATTTGTTTTTCTCTTATTCTAGATTGTTTACCCAGTAAGAGAGAAATTTTCAGCAGGCAAGCATACATCAGAACGTAAGACCGTATGTGGCTCATGGCAGCACTATTCACTGAGTAGAGGACAGAA